TCACCATGTGCTATACATTCTGTATGTCCTACCACTGATAGTCAGGTGTGGACCAGTGACTATAAAAGTGTCACCTTAACTCTTCTGGACAGGGACGGCGAAGTAATACAGGGCTTAAAAACAATGCTGTCATCAGATACTTAAATATGTCACCAACAACCAACATACTGTGGATCAGGAAAAACAACATCGCAGAGCTCGTGTCAGAATGGCTAATGTTACGATTCGACACCAGGGAGACACCACTCTGTATCTGTGTTACAGCCAGTAACCATGTCATTGTGGGAATGGTCCAACAAATATCAAAATTCTCCACAAAAGGTGTATTGATACATAATTCTGTAGGGGCTGGAATGTCATTAGTGTGTACACCACACAGTATCTCAGAGTGTCCTCTCACCCACAATGTCGCAGTGACTTACCGGGATAGTATACATGATGTTGGTGAAGGGAAACCATATGTTGTTGTCATGGACACATATTTCAAGAAACTTTTTGTATATGATGGCGATGTCCCGCATAGACGTCAACCAACATCACAGTCAGGTGGTCGACAATTCAACCCCCACAGTGTGGCGTATGACAGTGTGGGTAACCTAGTCATATGGGACTATAACAACAAACGTATCCCACTCATCAGTGGGCGTGGTGAGTTCCTCATGATCATACACACAGACAACAACGTGTCATGGACTGTTGTTGTAGTCCTACAGTACAACAGTGTGCTGGACAAACAGCAATGCATTATCTTGTAACCACGACAACTGAAACTGCATGCTGTTATATATAGCCTCTTTGAAAGCTGTGTCGTTGATGGGACTTTAATTACCATGCATCACGAGACACAATTCTTAGCGTATTAATACAACTCTGACCGGAACTACAATATCCATTATAAATAAACATGACGGCTGCTGAAATATCGCTGGGCATTGTGAGATTTGACAATGTCATTGTAAATGTATATGCAAAATAAAAAATAAAACAAAAAACACTTTTATTACAACGAAAACAAGACCAAGGTCTGCAATATCGTACAAAATGCACATCGGTTGAAATCACCAATGCCGGCAATGGAAACAATTTTAACGCTCATGCAATTTATCAGAAATATCGTCTGTTACACTGCACTGATCAACAGGGGTTCGTTACAAATGTCTGAAATACACATATTCTATAGACCTACTGACACATATGTTACAGACCTACTGATATGAGTCACAGCACACATAAACATTTCAGACATTTGTAACGAACCTGTGCTCCGTCGCAAGATCACTCACTTCAAACGCTATCAGTTTCACGCGTCTCGCATCCACGGTTCCTCAGTTTCTGACGACATGTCAAATAACGAGGCTGTTATAGAATCTACCGACTGTTGTCAGGTTCCCATACAATCAACAAATACATTCACGCCTGGATTCTTCACAAAATGAGCGGAGAGAAAAGTTCGAATTAACTTCTCAAAATAACTCCCTCGTGGAGGGCAAGGTCGGATTTACGGTGTTCACTGTATTTGTCCATGCGCGAAATTTGTTCCGGGGAAAAATCGAAACAATTTCAAATCTAACTTTCAGCTCAGAGTTCTACTGATAAACTTAAATCACACTATAGACATATCATACGCAATTATGTTGATACTGAATTGTGGAATAAAATTGAAGTGTTTGTTAAAATTTCAAAGTACTACTTTGTTCGCCAATTAGCAAGCGACAATACGCTGTTCAAACTATTGAACGAAATTGTGTGGACTGTCGATAAGGCGGGCATTTTTATTTTAAATATAAACTATAAGTTAAAAAAGAACATAAGAGGCAGAGAAAACGTAAATATAAGTATTGAACTGTTTTTGTATGGTATTTATGATCTATTTGAATGACACAGCTTTGCAAGCAAACAACTCATAATGCGCTAGCGCGCATTATGTTTTTTGCTTGCAAAGCTGTGTCATTCAAATAGATCATAAATACCATACAAAAGCAGTTCAATGCTTAAATAATACAAAGCTGACTTGAACTTCAACCCCCGACCTACAAATTAAATCAGTTCAACAGACATTCTATATCACTTTTATCGGGAATTGTTTAACTTTAAAAAGGAACAAAAAGAAAAAAGAGAAAAGAAATCCAGACAATGGAAAATCAATATCTATCTCATCTTACCATAAACAAATAATGTTTGACAATAGTATTGATGTTATTTGGGCAAAAACCACTACACCCTAGATATTATTTGACTTTGTCCCCCCGATACCATATTCTAAAGTTAATGTATGTTGAGCTTAAATATTTATGAAAATAAATGGCGTTGTCTTGAAAAATATGTTGTATTCAATGTATTTTCTTATTTCAAATATGGGGCAGGGTCGTGTTATTTTAACAAGCTTGAAAGTCCTTTCTCCCAGTATGTTTTATGTTATATATTCTTATCTGAAATTTCATCGTTCCTTCGGAGAGGTAATTGTTCCCCACTTTTGTTGTTTGATTAAGGTGGGTAGGAAAACACTCTTTTTTAAATATCCTAATCTCATCTCATTGATTGTATCATAATTAGTAATATCATATACGGAATGACAGGTTTGTATCAATATCCTACATTCGTGCTTAGAAGAGTGACTTTTACAATTTCGGAAATTGTAGATATTTTGGAATCGCTGCCAACTGGCAAAGCTACGGGTCATGACAAAAAAAGCCATAGGACGTTAAAAATTATGTCAGAGTCTGTAATTATTCCGTTATTTGATTTGTATTTCTGGAGCTTTATTCACAAATAGCCGGCTTTTTTAACAGCCCTACAAAAGCAGGTCAGAAAGACCCCCGGCTCTCATGTGCCCGACCGCACCCGTTGCCCAATTTCAGGGCTTTCGCTGTCTTACCTTTCTTTATACCCCATGAATATGTTTTGAAAAAATCGAAGACTCGATCTTCTCAAACCGTCGTATAGATTATACGAGTAGGTTTGGTCCTTTGATGTGCAGCAAAATAATCGCGCGGATGTGTAATGGTAAAATTAGCCTAGCGTTCAGTAAATCTAATAGCTAACCCTGCCTGCGCCTTCGACTTTGCCATGATATAATCGAGGGTTCTACCTCATCTCATTTTGATATTGTTTTAGTAACATTAACCTTAACTTTGATCATATAGTCTTATCAATTTGCTTAATCCTTTTGCACATCTATACATCACATTTAATTGCCATGTCAAATATAAAAAATAATGAATATATTGGTTTCTGAGTTAATGTCTCAAAATGCAAATGTTGACGGACAGCTAGACAGAGGACAGACAGACGGAAGGACAGACGGATATCGTAAATATTGTAGGACACCAGCATCTTGAATGTTGAGGCCTATTTAAGGTGACTCACAGAAATTCAGTTATTATAGACTTACCATTAATCAATGCAATTTTAAAAGTCTTTCACAGATTAATAACAAAACATTTTCCTAATATTCACGGTTGTACATTGACCGGGTTTACCCCATATGCTACAATGTAGCCCTATACTCAGAAATACAGAGAGACGCTAGCACAGAGACAAACTCGTAAAACATTAATCATTTATACCAATAATATAACGGCTATCTTCATTTAGATTCCTTAGTTTTGAAATACGTGATATCAAATTTTTACTTTTTACACAAACAATGTATGTATTAAACACAACGATATGACGAAATTGTATATGTTGTATGTCACTTTTGTATGTCGTTTTTTATATAACAACTAGTTATAACTGAAACTAGTGCAAAACAGTCGCAAGAGTTTCTCAACGAATTAAAGTTTAGTTCTGTTCGACTTGTTTGCCTTCCGTAAAGGCGGATTTATTCCATAACAAAATGTTTCAAATATACAGTTGTAAAGAATACACCGATAAAATAAGATATTGCTTAGTTTGGTGAAACGTATTCTAGAAAGGAACTAATAAACATATATAACAATTGATGCAAAATTTAAACCAAACATAGTTTAGTGGAAAATGGGTCAATGTGACCTTCATTTGATACACTGCTGTAGTAAATACTCAAGACATATTGGTGACAGTAAGATTTAAAGTATAATTGTTTGGAGCTGAACGCAAAATGCAAAGAACATGTCAGACTGACCGGTGGAATAAATCCTTCTCAACTACGTTATGGGATATTATTACGATCAATGACCCTGACCGAGAAAAACAGGACTGTAATTAAACTCTTCAAGTCCTTATCGAAAAATGCAGTACATGACATGTGTTCTGTACATTGTCCCAGTTTGATCCAGTCAGTAAGCTACAAGCACACATACGCTTTTTTATTTTGGTTTATATTTTCTAAATTGAAAATTTGGTGGATTCACTTGCGTACCTCCATGCATGCTCCTACACGCCTGGACAACTAAACATGATTTCTTTGTAAAAGGGGTGAGTGACTGGGTGGTAATTTATGGCTATGCAGACTCAGATACCTGTATGTGTCGTCACTGTCCTAAGTCCACGTATCGCACGTGAACAATCAATGATATGTTGGTCTACTTACCGGCAAGGTATACACAAGGCCACACCACCTGTCGTCTTATCGTCAAACGTCCACTTGATGGTCTTGTGATTTAGTGATCTACAAATTTCTGCAGACATAATGCAGACCTACCGAGGTGATTAATTTGAGTTAACATAAAACTCGTGCTAAACGTTGTTGCATATATGCACTGCTTCGATGGACTTATGTATCTTGAGTATTGTTGTTCAATGTAATGTGGACAACCTGACAATGAGGACAAGGTGAGCGACTAATTCATTGTCATTTTAAAATTTATTTTACAATTCTACGACATAATCATCAACAAAAGAAATATGGAACTAATGAAGCCAACAGAAGGAATATATTAATACACAGGATTACGTGAAGAGTCATTTGTATACTTCCTGTGTGGAACTTTCAATAGGGGTTGTTTTAAAAAATTCACAAAAGATAGGTTATACAACAAACTTTATAATCTTCAACGCTTTTACATCTTTCCATCAAAATGGCCACGTCCAAATTCAAAGGACAGAGTCCTTTCCGTGCCAAAGGTCGAACTACATGTATTCATCACAAGGACAGACAACTTGACCTTTACTGCGAAATATGCAAAAGACCAGCTTGTACTAAGTGCCTGTCTACTGTACATAGGCGTCATACAGTGTGCGACCTTAATGAAATTATTCCTCAGAAGACACAAGGCATCTTAAAGTTCATAGCCAAACTTGAAAATGTTCACCTTGTACAAATTAACCAGCATATCACCTCTACTGACACACAACTAAAGGATAATGTCAGCCGTTTTGAAAAACTTTCAATCGAGTTGCGGACACAAACAAATAAATTAAAAGGAGATCTTGACCAGTTAACAGCTCGGACTCTGTATCTCTATCAACAAATGGAGGAAGATAACACCAAGTTATTACAAACCTACAAACAGGACCTAGAAACGTATAGTACTCAGCTAAAACAACAAGTACAGGAATGTGAGGTAGCACTTCGGCGTGGCTCTGACATACAAATCTACGACACAGTATGTGATATTCAATCTTCAGTCACTCTCCCCGTAAAACCTACCCTAGGTACTGCCAGCTTTACTCCAAACCGAAATCCGCAGGGTCACCTGAAACAAGCTTTGGGAGAGGTTAATATTTCATATCAAGATCAGGGTCAAGCCTTGCTAGATCATGACCTGTCATTTGGATCAGCTGCTGTACAAGGCTCATCCCTTACTCAAGAGAGTTCAGAAAACAAAGGAAGGACATCCTCTACACAACAGCAGTCAAAACGAAAGGTTAAGATATCGCCTACGCAACGAAAGTCCACAAGAAGAAAGGACAGGACCAGTCTGTTGCCTCACACAAAGGTCTTGGAGGAGTGGACACCTTCATGTTCTATATCTTCTGTGTGTCCCACCACTGACGGGCAGGTTTGGACTAGTGAGGATATCACCATAACTCTATTAAACAGGAAGGGCGAAGTAATACAGAAGGTTGATCACAATGCTATGATCAGAGACATACGTCTGTCACCCACAACCAACACACTGTGGATCTGTGACAGGAAAAACAACATCGCAAAGCTCATGTCAGGACGACTAGTATTACGATTCAGCACCAGGGAGACACCACTCTGTATCAGTGTTACAGCCAGTAACCATGTCATTGTGGGAATGGCCAAACACATTTCAAAATTCACCACAAAAGGTACATTGGTACTTACTTCATCGACTGCTAGGATTGGGAAGCCATTAGTGTGTACACCATACAGGACCTCAGAGTGTCCTATCACTCACAATGTCGTAATGACTTACTGGGATAGTACACATGATGGTGGTGAAGGGAAACCATATGTTGTTGCAATGGACACAGATTTTAAGAAACTTTTTGTATATGATGGTGAAGTCCCTCATAAACGTCAACCAACGTCACAGTCAGGATGTGCACCATTTAACCCCCGGGGTGTGGTGTATGACAGTGTGGGTAACTTAGTCATAGGGGACCATAACAACAAAAGTGTCCTACTCATCAGTGGGCGTGGTGAATTCATCAGGATCATACACACCGACAACTTCAGAACGATTGCTGTTGGTGTAGACAGGGAAAATGTGCTATGGTCTGTGTTTGGGCTTAACAATGTCAAACTTAAACAGTACAATAGTGCGCTACACAAACAACAATGCATTATCTCGTAACAATTACACTGACACTGCATGTTTGGATAATACAAAGCTGACTCGAACTGCAACCCCGGATATATATCATGGACCTGCAGAGTGGTTAATCTTAACATACATTATATATCGCATTTGTTGGAAATTGTTAAAATTTTAAATAATTATACCAGATAATGGAAATTCAAACTTTAAAAAATACTCAACATTAGACATTATCTGACTTTTGCCCACGATACCATATTCTCAATATTCACCAGTAAATGTCTGTCTTAGCTAAAATATATATGAAAATAAATTGTGCTGTCTTGAAAAATGTGGCGTGTTTATTTATTTTTTTAATTTTGAACATGGGTTAAGGTCGTTATTTTAACAAGCTTGAAAGCCCCTTATCCTTGTATGTTTAATGCTATATATTCTTATCCCAAGTTTATAGCTTCCTTGCAAGAAGTTGTTGAAGTGTTTAAAAAAGTCTGTGATAAACACTGTAGATTAATATTTGCGTGTGTGTCGGACTGTAGCTTCTCTACGTAATGTACCTTGGACTGCCTCGGGTGAGGAGAAACCTCTCAGGTACATCTACCGTGCCCAGTATGTGTTCTAAATGTGTCGATTGAGTTTGCTAAAACCTAATAAAACCTGCTTATTTTTACTAAGCCAGTCTTGTATTTACATCAACCATGGTTACTATTGGGCACCATTCGTCCATCGTGTGCACAGGGAGTATGGTAACTTTAATATCCCAGTTTCTATCGTTCGCACCGTGGTTTCATCGTTCGCACACATTGTGCACACGAACATCGTGTAAGGTTATATAAGCACATAATTGTCTATTTAAATGGAGTTGTTACTTATTTGAATGATAAAATGTGCAAACGTTCCATACCGACGCGGAATATAGACTCAATGGTATATTATACTCGAAAATTGTGAAAATGATCATATTATATGTTCATGATCGTGGCCCATAGTGAATGCCTATTTCATTTTAATTAACCTCAATGTGAATTGGGGGAGGGGGGATGTACGTCAGAGTCTGTAAACAATCCGTTATTTGATTAAACGTTTTGGTGGCATATCTTTCAAAATCAGGTCAGCAATGGCCCCATGTACCTAACCGTACTCTCTGACCCCATATTCATTTCCTGAAATTCCGCGGGTACGCTCTCCCAACTTCCTTGTTCCCCCGGAATATATCATGACAAAATCACAGACTCGATATGTACGCACAATCGTGAAAATTATACAAGAACGCAATATATAGCTAGATTGATCCTTTAATGTACAACAAAAATACCGCGCGGCTGTGTAACGATAAAATCAGCCTAACGTTCGGTCAACCAAATAGCTAGCGTACTCTGCGTATTTGATTTTGTAATGATAGGTTCCAGGGTGAGCGTAGCCCTGAAATTTCGAGGATTCCCACTCTCATTTTGGTATTTTTTTTAGTAACAGTGACCTTGACGTTGATCATTTAGTTTTAGAAACTGTCTTAATCCTTTTGTATATCTACATCATCACAGTGTATTACCATGTTAAATTTCGAAAAAGATTAATCTATTGAAATCTGAGATAATCTCCGGAAATGGAAGTACTGACTGACAGCTAGACATATACAAGGTCAGACGGATACCGTATTTATTGTAGGGCACCAGCATCTCCAACACGGAGCCCTATAACTGGTGACACACTTCGGCTCCAATAATTATAGAGCTACCATTAGTTATAACAATTTAATTAGTCTTTTATAGTTTAGTCAAAAAACATGTATCTAATGGTTTATCACGTTTCACTGCTGTAAAACAATCCATCCAGTCCGGTTTACTCTCATATACAAGCCCTAAACTCAGAAACCGAACGGTAGACACTAGCCCAGAGACTCAAACGTAAAACATTAACCGTTTTTACCAAATATATAACAACTAATTGTCTTCTATCAAACAGACCTTCTCGTCCCTCGTGTAAAACTTAGAACAAAAATCAAATACATTATCTAAGATATGCAAGTTACTTTATTACGTATTATATTTTATTATTATTGAAAAAAATCCAGCAAGACATAATTTGTTTTTTGTAATACTGATTTAATTGATACAGGGGGTTTTGCGTTCTTGTTCAAGTTATAACTGAGCCTAGGGCAAAACAGACACAATGTTAAGTCATATACCAGACGTTAAATATTATGGATTTATAAAGACCAAGTTTGTTCTGAACACAAACAGGAATTAAAAAATTATATTGCGAGTTTCCGAAAACGTCTGTTCCCTTTGTCAAGCAAAGAGTGCAAAATGAACGGTGTCTCGACTTTAAACCGCTGAAAACAACTCCCTAAGCCTCAGTTGGCTGAATCAAATAAAGTTAGCTGTCAAAATTCATAGAGACATTTCGCCCAATTGCACTTTACGGCATGGAATTTCTCATAACGATGTAAGAATATCATCAGGCATTTACACGCCTTACCACTCGATGTTTAGAGATGAACGTAAAATACGCAAAGGTGATTGTACCTTTAAAACTTGGTCAGAGATACAGTTTGGCAATAATGAATTATACTGCATCTTACTGCTGTTGCTAAGGGCCAAAAAGTTGGAAATCAAAATTGTCTAAACTACTGTTAAAACCGAGGGGCAGGTGCGTAAACCCCTTAATGTTTTAATTTAAAACTTTGAAGTAGTATTGGTTGATTTCAAATCAATAACCTGTAAAGTGTGTATTCTATGAACCGTGCCACTACTCGAAAGAGATAACTGAGGCTAACAAGGTTACAGCAAACTTCAGGGACTAAATCATCCACCAGCAGAGTCTGCCACCTGGATCCTGGTTTCCTGCCACCAAGGCGGCCAGGGCTCGATTCCCCGATCGGAAGTGTAAAGGTATCGGCTCACCTGCCCGACCACGTGGGTTTTCTCCGGGTAATTCGGCTTCCCCCACAGTAAGACATCCGGGCCAACAAGAGTGATTAGTATAAGTTGTTAAAAAACTTGTTTCATAAATGTTGTAAAACAGATAAAGATTATAAAACACCTTGTTTCTTGAAAGATGAACGTAACACTCACAACAACTGTTGATTTCGCCTTTAAAATTTGGATACAAGATGAATTACACTGCATCGTACAGCTGTTTCATCCTTCTAGGACTCATCGGTGATGCTAGATGTAGCTGTGAGACGGCAACGTTAAATGCAAAAGAATCAGCTGAAATACTATTGAAACTTATGTCTATTACGAGTGCCTCCCGTTCCGTTGAACACTTTGTACATTTTTAGTAATGTTGTAGGCATGTGCATTTATATTTCTAAAGAACATTATTTTTTTAGGATATGTTAATAGTAATAGCTCGTGTGGCTAATATTAGACATACTCGAGAAAGATATTTGGTATTAATGAAGACACTGTTAGATATCCTCTATTTATCCTATATATAATACAAGATACTGTGTGCCTGGTCAGGGTTCTCTGTTGGTAGAAGGATTGTTTGAAGATATTAATATATATTTGATCTGTGTGACCTTAACAATGGGTCGTGGTCTTCATTTTACCAGCTTCCCGACATATCTTATACTAAATTTTCTTACAAAGGTTTCAATTGTTCCTTGGAAAACTTCATTGGAAAACTTTGTAATGAAAATGAGTTTGATGCTTCAATAATCAACATTGTGAAGTTTACTCCCATGGATTCCCGTTTGATAAATGTGGACATCTTCATTTTATGAGTCTGGATCCATTTTTCAGGAGCATTTTGTATTTACTCTGTCTATAAAATTTGCCAGCTCTTGTAAGAGAGTATTGATGAGGACGGTGGCGTATTGTGTATTAAAATCAACCCAGGTGTTCCGGAAGGGTAAGCGTCTTCTGCTTCCTTTGTGGCACCACCATGTAAATCAAAGTAATGACACCTCCTCACATCGAGAACTCAGGCAGTGATAACAAAACCACAAGGCTCTCCACTCTAAGGATCACAATAAAAAACGTCATATCATATCACTCCAAAAAATAGCATATTAATCATTCATTCAGAAGCAACACTTCATTTCGTTAATTACGAAATACATGCAATTTACCCTCCTGATTATACGTATAAATGCTGAAAGGTTCTTTAACTGAACAAGAGGGATAACCCTTTAACTCAATATGACTTTTTGCTAACTCTGAAAAATTGTTCAGTTTTTAACAAATTTGACCCTTTTGACCTTTGAGAGCAGGCTACTGGCAAAATATCACCCTTTGAAGCCTTCTATAACCAACTTGCTAGCTCTCCATACCAACATACTACTTACAAGATATATGCAATATTGAATGATAAGTTAATCAATGTTACAGAATTAAAAAAACCAAATCCGAAAGGCTCGATTGACATAAGCTACTCGGTGTATCTTCCATTTGTTCTAAATTTTCAATGCATATTACGCATTATCACAATGCTTTTAAAAATGTTAATTATATGGAGGTACCTTACCTGAGTTAATTGTGTCTGTTGCACTTGGCTCACAATAGTTTCATATTTGTGATACAACAATCTACCTGTTACCTGGTAATTAACCGTTATGATTTAAGACTGCTTTGTTAACACTGTATCAGTCTGAACAGTCCGTCAGAAACAAACAAGTTAAAGCCCAATCTTGACCTGCTAGCAGCTCAGACAGTATCTTCTTCAGCAAATGGAGGAGATAACACTAATCCACTACAAACAGGGCCCGGAAACGTACAGTACACAGCTATAAAAATAAGTGTTTGTGCTAAGACAGTCAACTAACATACATATTTAGCACCAGAAAGATACCCCTGTATCGCAGTATCAAAACTGTATACTGGTGTGTATGACCTTGTCTTTTTGCTCTTTCTTAGATAGTAGTTGATGGATCCTTCCCAAACTCCACATGAATGTTCCCCATGGTCCGTAGTTACGCATATTACAGTTTTGGACTGATCGGAACACAAAGATGGATGCTTGCCTTTGAGCAATAGGACTTACAAACTTTAACCATCAAAATTCAAGATGACCGCCTGCCAGCCATCTTGATTTTTTATAAGTCCCACAATTCGATATGCGTAAAAGGAATTGTTTAAGACGATCGGACGTACGGAATGACTAATGAGGGATTACGGACAGAGGGTTATTTATAGCCCTCGTATCTGATGATGGTCGGACAAAAAAGGGTGTGTTGAAATAGTAGGCGTTAGTTAAATAGATTATGTGCATATTTGTTAATAAAATGTGGCAAGTAGAGGTGAAATAGGCCGACACACAACTATAATAGGCCGACACACAACTATAATAGGCCGACACACAACTATAATAGGCCGACACACAACTTTAATAGACCGACACACACAACTATAATAGGCCGACACACAACTATAATAGGCCGACACACACAACTATAATAGGCCGACACACAACTATAATAATGCAGCTTTTGTCCTGTGTAATTAGTAAAGCATGTGATGTTTGTACTTTATATTATATCTAAATATAGTCAACAGTAAATCTCGGTTTCTACCATACAATATGTAAACATAACATAGATATATAAACAGAAATGAAAGCTGATCATTTTTGCAAATTGTCGGCAACGTCGCACAACAAAGAACTATAACATGCAAAGCTGCACGCCAATCTATTAAATCCCCCGCAACACACCACTCCTAAAGAAAGCCTGGTATACAGATTCATCCCTAACGTCAGACTAAGTAGAACGTCAGGCTAGGGAGATCAATACACACGTTTACCTAGCTAGACTGTATTGTCATAGAACTTGTACTGTCTGGCCGGGTAGATCATAAAACATCAACCTTCTGGTCGGGTAAATACTGTTACATGTATGTGAATTTAACAGATCTACCCAGACAAACTCTTCAAAGGATAAGGTCAAAGGCTAATCATAGGACAAAGTGAACTACGTCTTTTACTTGACACTCCACCATCCCAAAGATGTACTTGCATACCAAATCTAGTTATTCTAGTATGAAATAGTATACAAGCCAATGACAAAAGTTTTAAAGGTAAGTGTCAAATTTTAAGCCATAGGTCACAGCAATCAACATTTGTAATTGGCAACATTTGTAATTATCATTAACGCAAATGTGAGTTATTATGGCATGTATCCCAAAGGGAGATAAATATAGACAATTCATAAAACACTGTCAACCTGTAATATTATTGAATACTGTCTATGAAATAGCTGCTGAATCTATAGCATGCAGGGTTTGATCTATAACAGGTAGAGTCGGACAGGTTTTGGATTAACTGACTTTTGAAGATCAAATAGGATTACTTTCAGACCGATATGTAGGGTAAATACCAGATTCCTCCTTGGCAGTATACAATATGTTGAAGAAAAACATTCTACTATTTGGGTGGTCGGTTAAACGTAGCGAAATGGATAACGCACTCTCCTTTCACCAAAGTGGCCGGGGTTCTGATGTGAGGTTCAGGACACCTGTCTGACCACGTGAGTTTTCTCAGAGTAACAATACAACACACTAATGTTAGCTAACATTTACATCAAGACGGTAACTTGTCATTGTTTCTACATATTAAAAGTGTTTGTCGACAAGGTGACCCAATATTTTTATTTTGTGTGTTGAAATATTAGGCAGAAGACAATTATATTATGTGTATATTTGTCAACACTCAATGTAACTTAACTGACATGGAGTGAAGTGTTAACCCTGAAATTTAAAAGTCCGCGGCCATAACAAATTATCGGATGCTTACATACTCTATGTAAACAAAACATTCACATTATGTCAGCTGATCATTTCAGCACATTGTCGGCAACGTCGCACATGCACTCCTGCATACTGATTTATTAAATTCCCTCAAAATACACCACCCCTATAGAACAATATAGAAAGCCGGGTATACAGAAACACTCCTAACGTCAGGCAAAAGAGAACAATAAACATTACTACTAAATGTCAGCGCTAGACTGTATTGTCAGAGTTCTATCTGGCCGGAAGGACAATGATATCATGTGTAAACTGGTATGGAGTGAAACAGAACTATACTCAAGTATAGGTGAAATAGGCCGACACACAAATATAGCACTTATATATATATATATATCCTGTGTAATTAGTAGTACATGTTATGTCTGTACTTTATAGTATATCTAAATAATTGATGTTATTTATGAAATTAATAAAGTCCATCGTCATGACAAAGTCTCGGCTGCTACCAAACTTTATGTAAACATATATCATTCACATTCTGTCGGCTGATCATTTCTGCAGATCGTCGGCAACGACGTACAATCAGGAGCTATTACATGCACCGTTGCACACTGATCTAATATATCACTCATAATACATTTACACCAATCCTATAAATAGCCAGGTATACGGGTACACCACTAACGCCAGGCTAAGGAAAACAATACATATTCTTATCTATTGATCTCGATAGATTGTATTGTCATCATTTCTAAATATGAAAAGAGGATGTCGCCAAGGTGACCCAATCACCCTTTATATTTTGGTTTTGTGTGTTGAAATATGCGACAAAGACAATTAGATTATGTGCATATCTGTCAGCACTCAATGTGTGAAACTGATCTATACACTAGCAGTGGTAACAGGGGGCCAGCACACAAATAAAACAATTCAGTATGTATTCCATGTAATAAGTAGTACATTTGTACATGGTATGTCTGTACTAAAACTTATTTTTAGTCATTAACCACAGTAGATGTGCCATTAAAAAAATTCAGGGCCTTGACAAAGCCTCAGCTGCTAACACATTTTATGTAAACATTCACATTCTGTCAGCTGATCATTTCTACAAATTGTCGGCAACGTCGCACAACCAGGAACTATCACATGCACTGCTGCACACTGATCTAGTAAATCCCCCATAATTTACCATCCCCATAAATAGCTAGGTAGACAGAAACGTCCATACGCCGGGAAGATAATAAGACACCCACGCTCTGGCCGGGTAAATACTGTTGTGTGATTTACAGTATGTTAAAGTGTTGCTGTTCGTTGTCTGTGGACGGCCTGACATTGTAAACAAGGTGAGCGATTATACGTGACTACAAATGTACTGTGGTTTTCTATACAAACAAATATATTCTGCAACATAATTACCCCAACGGGTAATAACCACAATCGACAACCACTGGATTTTGTGAAAGAAAGATTCTAGTGGTCACTCCGGAGTTTGTGAATACTCCAGATTTTGATTCGTAATATGGAAATAGATATACTTTGTGTGATTGTTTTTTATCAGTGTTAGATAAAATGTAAACAGCTGTACAACAAACCGCCTTTTCTGTGAATCAACTTTCTATAGTCAAAACACTTCAACGGTTTTGCATCATTTTATCAAAATGGCCAAACCACTATACAAAGCTCAGATTACTTTTCGTATCAAAGATCAAACCACCTGTACACACCACAAAGGGGGACAACTGGACCTTTACTGTGAAGAATGTCAAGTTCCTGTTTGCATCAAGTGTGTATCTACTGTACATAAGAGTCACCTTTTGTGTGACCTTAGTAAAATTACTCATCAAAGTAAACATGACATTCAAAACTTTATAGACAAGACAGAGAAAGTTGACCTCGTACAAATCGACCAGTTCCTAACATCTACTGATAAACAACTAAAGGACAATACCAGCAACTTTGATAAACTTTCACACCAGTTAAAGACACAAACAAACAAATTAAAAGAAGATTTGGACCAATTAACAGCACAGACTTTGTCTCTCTATCAACAAACGGAAAAAGATAATACCAAGCTACTACAGACTTACAAACAGGACCTAGAAGTGTACGACGCTCAGCTAAAAAAACAAGTGCAAGAATGTATGATAGCCCTTCAACATGGCTCTGACATACAAATCTACGACACAGGGTGCGAGATTCAATCTGCATTAACTCTCCCTGCAAAACCTACTCTATGCACTGCCAGCTTCACACCGAACCAAAATTCTCAGGTTCACCTGGAAAAAGCTTTTGGAGAAGTCAACACCTCCTGTCAATGCCAGGGTCAAGCTTCACCAGGTCATGATCTGTCAGTTGGATCATCTGCTGAACAAGGATCATCCTCTACACAACAAAACTCCACAGGAAGAAAGGAAGTGAAAAGTCCAGTATATCGACTGTTGCCTCAGACCAAGGTGTTGGGGAAGTGGACGTCTCCATGTTACATCACTTCTGTATGTCCAACCATTGATGGTCAGGTGTGGATTAGTGCCTGTGACGATATCACCTTAAATCTTCTGGATAGGAAGGGCAAAGTAATACAGAAGATTAAACACAATACTAGGATCACAGACATAAGTCTGTCACCCACAACCAACACACTGTGGGTCTGTGACTGGAAAAACAACATCACAGAGCTCGTGTCAGGACGACTTGTACAGAGATTCAGCACCAGGGAGTTACCACAGTGTATCTGTATTACAGTTAGTGACCATGTCATTGTGGGGATGGCCAAACACATCTCAAAATTTACCATTGAAGGTACATTGGTACTTTCTACATTGTCTGCGGGGACACCACTCAAGATCTCAGAGTGTCCTGTAACTCACAATATCGCAATAGTTGTCTTGAACAAACAAGGTGATGGTTGTGAAGGGAAACCACGTGTTGTCGTCATGAACTCTGAAATCAAGGAACTATTTGAATATCATGGTGAAGTCACAGAAATATATCAACCATCATCACAATCAGGAAGTGAACCATTTAACCCATATGGTGTGGTGTATGACAGTATGGGTAACCTAGTCATAGGGGACTTGAACAACAGGTGTGTCCTACTCATCAGTGGGCGTGGTGAATTCCTCAGGATCATACACACAGACAACAACGGGGCACGTGCTGTTGGTGTAGACAAGGAGGATGTTCTGTGGGCAGTGTTTTGGTATGATAGAGTCACACTACTACAGTACAGCAGTACGCAGGACAAACAACAATGCATTATCTCGTAACCATGACAACATGATAATACAAAGCTGCCGAACTTCCACCCCGGACATATATTATAGACCTACAGAGTGAATCGATTCAACAGACATAACAATTTTAGGAAATGGAAATTCAATTACTATCTCACCGAAATCATAAACAAATAATGTTTGACAAAAGTGTTGAAGTGAATTGGAAAAAATATTCAACCTTATATATTTTTTCTGACTTTTCCCCCCGAAACCATATTCTAAATTTAATGTCTGTTTTAGCTAATACATGTATGAAAATAAATAGCGTTGTCTTGAAAAATGTTGTTTATTGAGTTTTCCTATTTCAAATATTGAATTGGGTTGTTATCTTAACAAGCTTGAAAGCCCTTTAGCCCGGCATGTTTTATGCTATATATTCTTACCTCAGATTTCATGGTTGATTCGGAGAGGTTGTTGTACTCCACCTTTAATTTGTTGTTGGAGTAAGGTGGACAGGAAAAAAATACGTTCTTTAAAAGTATCCAAGACTCATCTCATTGAAGTGTATGAAACTAAGAAATATGATATACAGAATAACTGCTTTGTATCAATATCCAGCATTCCAACCTAGAAGAATGATTTTACAATTTCGGAATTTTGGGTGAGCATAGCCCTGGAAATTCTTCGAATTTCCCCATTCCTTAGTTTAGTAATTTTAGTAACAGTGAACTTGACTTTGATCATATTGTCTTAGAATCTCCCTTAATCATTTTGAACATCTACATACCACAGTGTATTACCATGTCAAATTTCCAAAAGCTTAGTCTATTGAAATCTGAGATAATTTCCGGAAATGGAAGTACATACTGACAGCAATACAGATACAAGGGCAGACGGATACCGTAGTTATTGTAGGGCATCAGCATCTCCAACGCGGAGCCCTACAACAGGTGACACACTCGACTCCAGTAAATATAGAGCTACCTATAGTTATAACAATTGAAATAGTCTTTTATAGTTTATCACAAAACATGTATCTATTGTTTTACCAACTTTCACTACTGTAACACAATCAATCCAGTCCGGTTTACTCTCATATACAAGCCCTATACTCAGAAACCGAACAGTAGACACTAGCTCAGAGACTCAAACGTATAACGTTAATCGTTTTTACCAAATACATAACAACTAATTTTCTTCTATCAAACAGACCTTCTCCACCCTTGTGTAAAAATCAGAACAAATAACAAAAACATTATTTAAGATATGCAAGTTACGTTATTACGTATCATGTTTTATTGTTATTAAAAAGATATGTCAATACGTCTAAAAACTTCAGTAATACTGAACTGGTTGAGTGGGTTATGCGCTCTTGTTCCAGTTATAACTGAGCCTAGGGCAAAACAGACACAATGCTAAGTCACAGACGTTAAATACTACGGCATGGACTTTCTCATAACGATGTAAGAATATCATCAGGCATTTATACGGCATACCACTCGATGTTGAGAGATGTCTTTAAAACACAGACAGGTAATTATACCTTTAGATTTGGTCATAGATACAGCATGCCAATAATCAGTTATACAGTATCATAAGGCTGTTGTTTGGGGCCAAAAAGGAGGAAATCAAAAATGTCTCAACTACTGTTAAAGCCGAGGGGCGGGAGCTTAAAGCCCTTATTTCTTTATTCAAAACTTTAGAGAAGTACTGGTTGATTTTAAATCAATAACCTGTAAAGTGTGTATTCTATGAACCGTGCCACTACTCGAAAGAGATAACTGAGGCTAACAAGGTTACAGCAAACTTCAGGGACTAAATCATCCACCAGCAGAGTCTACAACCTTGTTTCGGTTGGTTGGCTGGCACAGTAGATAGCGCACATGCTCTTCACCAAGGTGGCCAGGGTTCGATTCCCCGATCGGACGTGAAAAGATATGGGGTCATCTGCCCGACCACGTGGGTTGTCTCCGGTTACTCCGGCCACCTCCCACAGTACGACCCCTACCCCCGCGCAATAACATCCGGGCCAACAAGAGTGATAAGTATAAGTTGTAAAAACGTTTTTAGTAATTGTTGTAATATATATAAAACACGTTGTTTCTTGAAAGATGAACGTTACACACACACAGGCCTTTAAAAATTTGCTAATAGATAGAGCATACCACAATGAATTACACTGCATCATACAGCTGTTTTGTCGATGTAACTGTGAGACGTAGACGTTATGCAAATACAATGGAGCTTATATTTATTACGAGTTGCCTCCCTTTGAATAATCAGCTTTACATATTTTAAGTAATGTTGCAGACATGTGCATATATATTTTTCATAAAGAACAATCTTGTTTAGGATATGTTAGCACTAACCCGTCCCAGCTTCTACGAATATTATCATTGCTAAATATGAAAGTTTTTCCCATGTGACATGAACCACAATTGGGATTATTTTTGAACTTTAGAAACCTTAGAAGCCTAGAAGGTAAAATGATGTGGTAGATATGTTCCAGACAGATGAGTCTTTGAAAAATGTTGACGATTTTCTTACATGCGGCATCACAGTAATGAAACTTACTCAAATTCAAATCAAAGATAAAAAGTGAAAAAATGTCTATTTGACCTTCATTTGAAACACTGCTGTAGTAATTATATAAGTCCTCAATACATACCCAAATATTGGTGACAGATTTATAGTATCTGGAGCTGAACGCAAAATGTAACAAAAATGTCATACTGACCGGTGGAATAAATCCCTCTCAACTACGTTGTGGGGATATTATTACGATCAATGACCCTGACCGAGAAATACAGGACTGTTATTAAACTCTTCAAATGCACTACATGTCATGTGTCCTGTTTATTGTCCCAGATTGATAAAGGACACCATTACACAACAGGGAAGTTTCACTACATGTAGTATACTGATCTATAAATATCTTTATCTTTGACCTTGTAAATATCATCACTTATGTTCTAGTTTGCCCCTCTCAAACGAAAACAAATAATTTATCATATAGAACTCAAGCTTGTGATTGAGAGTTCGTCTGGCTAGATATACATGTATGAGGACACACAAAATCATTCATGTTTGTAGACAATTATAAATCGAAATTACAGACACTACCCCCGAATCCCGAACTTTACATTTCTCTTGGTCTTTAACCCGATCTGGCGTTCAGCTGTTGCACAGACTACAATGTGAGCTCATTAGTAAGAGATTCTGCAAAGGTAGTACGAAAGAGTCCATTTCCATAGATAGCCCTTGCTGTGATTGGATTAATTTAGGAGCGGATCCAGGGCAGAGTATTTCATGGGGAAGGATGGAGGTCAAACTACCAGGCGGAAAAATCTGTCTCAGGGTCATTCTCCGGAGAGAAATTCGAAAGAAGAAGTTGCAAAATTGAGACAATCTACAATACAATCATGATTTCAATGTATTTTATATCAGCATACATACCTTTCGAAGACATATTCAGTATGGCATAAACGCACATATGGGTGTTTTTATTTTGGTATATATTTTTAATTAAAAATTTGGTGTACTCCTGTTCAGACTGATAAGCGCCTGGACAAAGAAACATAATTATTTTTAAAAAGGGATGACTGGGTGGTAAAGTTATTATTGTTTTACGGCCAGGCAGACACAGACACCTTTATGTGTCATCACTGTCCTAAGTCCATCTATCGCACGTGAACTCTAATCTGGACTTGCTCAATAACTTGTTTGCAAATTTATCATGAACCTATCTAAGTTTCAGGAAATACAACCTACCACACAACCTAAAACACTCTCCTTCTGGTCTTGTCACTACGTGATCTACAAATACTAGCAGACAGAAAGTATATCTACAGAGATATTAGTTTAAAATTTACAGACATTTTTTTTTTCGGTTATGATTCAAATAAACTATTTTGATGGAGATTGGTGTCTGAGGCATTAGTTTGCTGTATGTTGACTAACTAAAATTAATACAGTTTAAGTGACCTTAACTGCTTTGTTTTGTGAAATTAAAAAACAAATTCTACAACATAATTACAAATACAGGAAATGTGGAACCAATGATGTCAACAAGAGGATAGTTAATACAGAGGATTTAATGAACATTTACAGATGTTGAATGTTCTTTTTGACTGTTTTAATCAATAGAAGGATAGATTAAGTAGACAACACAACTTCTAATTACTACAATTTTACCAGTTGATGACACAGACAAAGGAATTAAGACACGATGTAGACTAGCTCGAAGTCATGAATATATATTTTTCTTCCAAAAAAATGGAATAGTTAAATAATAAGTTACTACAAATAGGACCTGGAAATGTATAGAACTACTAAATATGAAGATTTCTGTATCGGACATTCTTTATCTTTGGGATGAGATTTGGAAATTGAACTTTTCTAAAAACCATATCATCATTTTTTAAGGTTTAAAGAGAAACCTGAGAGGCCCAGAGAGACGACATCAACAAATCTCAAACTCATTTATCTGTTGATGTTGTGTGGCAAATAGGATCCATTTCAGATTTTTTCCTCGCATTAAAATGTCATACAATAAGCAAATAGCTAATATATAACAGATCAATGGGTTCTAAACCCAGGGGAAACTTGAGAATCGTTTTATTTTCGCTAGCTGGTCAGTTTAAGAGGTAAGTCAAAGTGCCTTACATCTTTGCATTATACTCAACCTTCTTTAGACGTACCAGCATGACACAGACAAAGAAAGTAAAACACGATGTTGACCAGCTCACCGCTCAAATTAAATCTCTATAACACTAAATGGAACGGGAAAATATCGAGCTACGACAAACAGGACCTGGACATGTATAGTGTGCAGCTAAAACAATAAGAACAGGAATGTAAGATAGCACTTCACCACAGCTCTGACAAACATATCTATGACATAGGTTGTGACAGTCATTCCCCGGTAAAACTGCATGCATTACCTACCCTCGGTACTGCTAAATATGAAATATGTTCTTATCGCACAATTATCAAACTTGAGATGAGTTTTGAAAATTAAAACTATTCTTAAAATATCACCATGTTTTTAAAACTTTTATGAGAAACCCGAGAGGCCCAGACAAACGATATCAAAAAGTCTTAAACCCATTTTACTATTGATGTTGTGTGGCAAATAAGATCAAATTCAGATTTTTGTCCAGGAAAGATGGTCAAATAATGGGCAAATTGCAAATATACAACTGATTAATGGGTTCTTAACCCTGGATAAACATGAATTGTTTCTTTTTAGCTAGCTGGTCAGGCCAAGATGTAGGTCACAGTGATTTCTATCTTTACATTACACTCAGCCTTCTTTAGACGTACCAGCATATCGGATTTGTTAATCCAAAGTAAAATGATGTGTGGATTTGTTCCAGACAACACCTCGGACGGACGGCATAACCATATACACACGTCCCCTTTGCGGTGGGATTAAACATACATACACGTCACTGTTCTTTTTGACATGCAGTATCATAGTAAGGAAGCTAGCTCTAATCTCCAAAAAAAATCACCTACATTTGATATACTGGTGTTGTGACTCCTCAAGACATATCCACATATTGGCGACTGTTGGACTTCTAGTACATGTATTTGTATTATGGAAATTATCGCAACTGACGTACGGGTGGAAGAAACGACAAACATTTAAGGCTGCTTTACTATATTGTAGGGACATAAAAGCACAGTCAATGGCCCTGACCGAAAAATACAGGAGAGTACGCAAACTTAGGTATTTTTTTTCAAAAAATGCACTACATGACATGTATCCTGTATATTGTCCCAGTTTGATTAAGGACAACATCACACATTAGGGGAGGTGTATTACATGTAGTATACTGATGTAAAAATTAACCAGTACACTTTGAACTTTTATCTTTGTACCTGTAGATAGCAGCACACATTTTCCAGACCCCCTCCGGAACCAACAAACATCAGTAACCATATAAATTCAAAAGATTTGATTCATTTACGGAACGAAAAAGACACAGACATGCATGCTTCTTAAAAGGGGGCGGGTTGGTGGTAGAGTCCGTGTCGTTTAATGGCTAGGCAGACTTTGACACTTGTATATGTCGTCACTGTCCTAAGTCCACGTATTGCACGTGAATTATAATCTGAACATGTGTATAAACTCGTTTACAACACCGTGATAAACTTATTTATTTTCTGACCAGGTACAGAGCTACATCACCTTTTGGCTTATCGTTGAACTTCCATTTCCTGGTAGTGTTATTAAGTGATCTACATACAGAGGTATTCATTTAGAATTGACATACAAATTGTGCTTAACGTTGTTACATAAATACTGGATGGATGTGTGTATCTATAGTATTGTTGTTTAGTGTGTTTGACATTGAGGACACGATGAGTGACTACTTCTGTTACATTTTCAAATCTATTTTACAATTCAACGAAAAAATCATCAACGCAAGACATATGTTACTTATGCTTCAAACAGCAGGATTAAGTTAATTCCCAGGATTTATTGAAAAATCCAGTTTTTCTTTTCTAATCTTGAACGCTTTTACATATTTTTCATCAAAATGGCCATGTCCGTATACAAAGGTCAGATTCCTTTCCGTGCCAAAGGTCAAACTACATGTATTCACCACAGGAACAGACTACTGGATTTTTACTGCGAAAAATGCCAAGAACTAGCTTGTACTAAGTGTCTATCTTCTATTCATATGAGTCATACAGTATGCGACCTTAGTGAAATTACTCCTCAAAACAAACAAGACATCCTAAAGTTCATAGACAAATTTGAGAACATTGACCTTGTACAAATTAGCCAGTATATCACCTCTACTGACTCACAACTAAAGAAGAATCTCAGCCGTTTTGAAAAACTTTCAATCGAATTGCGGACACAAACAAACAAATTAAAAGAAGATCTTGACCGGTTAACAGCTCGGACTCTGCCTCTCTATCAACAAATGGAGGAAGATAACACCAAGTTATTACAAACCTACCAACAGAACCTGGAAATATACAGTACTCAACTAAAACAACAAGTACAAGAATGTAAGATAGCACTTCAGCGTGGCTCTGACATACAAATCTACGACACAGGGTGTGAGATTCAATCGTCAGTCACTCTCCCCGTAAAACCTACCCTGGGTACCGCTAGCTTCAGTCCGAACCAAACTCCCCAGGTTCACCTGAAAAAAGCTTTTGGAGAAGTCAAAACATCAGTTCAATGTCAGGGTCAGGCCTTACAAGGTCATGATCTGTCAGTTGAATCATCTGCTGCACAAGGATCATCTCCTTCACAACAGAACCCTACAAGAAGAAAGGAAATGACAAGTCCATTATATACCCTGTTGCATGAGACCAAGGTGTTGGGGAAGTGGAAGCCTCAAAGTTTCATTACTTCTGTATGTCCCACCACTGATGGTCAGGTGTGGACCAGTGATTCTAACGATGGTACCTTATCTCTCCTGGACAGGAAAAGCACAGTAATACATGAGGTTACACACAATACTAGAATTACAGACATAAGTATGTCACCTACAACCAACAAACTGTGGGTCTGTGACTGGGAAAACAACATCACAGAGCTCATGCCAGGACGACTAGTATTACGATTCAGCACCAGGGAGACACCACTCTGTATCTGTGTTACAGCCAGTAACCATGTTATTGTAGGGATGGCCAAACAAATCTCAAAATTCACCTCAAAAGGTACATTTGTACATCAGCTGAAGGTACAGGGAGGTCTTTAATGTGTACACCATACGGGATCTCAGAGTGTCCTGTCACTCACAATGTCGCAGTGGCTGATAGTATGCGTGATGGTGGTAAAGGAAAACCACGTGTTGTCGTCATGGATACATATTTCAAGAAGCTATTTCTATATGATGGTAAAGTCCCACAAACATATCAACCAACATCACTGTTAGGATGTGAACCATTTTACCCCCGGGGTGTGGTGTATGATAGTGTGGGTAACTTAGTCATAGGGGACCGTAACAACAACAGTATCCTACTCATCAGTGAGAGTGGTGAGTTCCTCAGGATCATACATAAAGATAGTTACTGTACATCTGCTGTTGAAATAGACAGGGAGGATGTCCTGCGGGCAGCGTTTGGGTTTAATGATATCAAACTATTACAGTACAACAGCTTGCTGGACAAAGAACAATGCATGAGCATGTAACCATGACAACTGAAGCAGGCATGCAAGGATAAAACAAAGATGACTTGAACTTCAATACCGGACAAATATCTTGAATTTATAGTGTGAATCATTTCAATAAAACTTATATATCGAATTTATTGGAAATTTTGAAAAAAATATCAAAAGAAAAATACAGGTAATGGAAATTCAAATCTGTCACACCAAAACCATAAACAAGTAATGTTTGACAAAAGTGTTAAAGTAAAGTGGAAAAAATAATCATCATCAGACATATTCTCAATGTTCACAAGTGAATGTCTGTCTTAGCTAAAATATATATGAACATAAATTGTGTTGTCTTGAAAAATGTGGCGTGTTTATTGTGTTTTTAATTTTAAGCCTAACAAAATGACTTTTACAATTTCGGAAATTACAGATGTTTTCAAATCGCTGCCAATTGGCAGAGCTACAGTTTATGACAAAATTATGTCACAATCTGTCAACATTCTATGATTTGGTTATCTTCAAAAGCAGGTGAGCAATGGTCCCGGTCGCATGTGTCCGACCAGACCCCCTCCCTCTCCAGTTTGCCCCTTTCCTAGAATTCCAGGGCTTTCGCTGTCTTATCTTCTGTTTACCCCCAGAACATGTCATGAAAAAAAAAATCGCAGATTCGATCTGTACGCATCATCGTTAAAATTATACAAACAGGCTATATATCGATAGGTTGATCCTTTAATGGACAGCAAAATAATCGCGCGGATGTGTAACAGTAAAATTAGTAATATATAGAGCCTGCCAAAACTGAATTACACTTCATCATAGAGCTGCTTCGTTCTTCTAGGACTCAACGATGATGCTAAGCGTAACTCTAAGACGCAGACGTTGTGCATAATTATCAGATGAAACACTATGGAAACTTATATTTATAACGAGTTACCTCCCGTTGAACGATCAGCTTTCTAAATTCAAGTTGTATTTCTTGTTTAAATATAATATAATATAAACTTTATTGTTTTTATAACAATTATAAAACAAATTATTTCAACTGATATAAATCACTCTTGTTGGCCCGGATGTTAGCGTGCAGGGGGTCTTAGTGTGAGAGGAAACCGGAGTACCCGAAGAAAACCCACGTGGTCGAGCAGGTGACCCCATACTTTTTCACGTCCGATCGGGGAATCGAACCCCGGCCGCCTTGGTGAAAAGCAAGTGCGCTATCTTCTGCACCACCCGACCACCCGATAATTTAAATATATGATAATAGTAACAACGTAGTTCTTAGCAAAAAGGAACCCGGCCAGATTTTTGCATCTGACGTTTACTAAACTTTTCTCAAAATAACACCATTTTTGAACTTTTATGAGAAACATTAGAGGAACATACAGGCTATATCGACAAACGTAAAACTCCTTTATCTATTGATGTTGTGTGGCATATTAGATCAAATTACAATGTAAGACTCTTTTCCATGACAGATTGTAAGATAATGAGCAAATTGCAAATATTACTGTAATATATTAGTTTGTACATCCAAGGGAAACTTAAATTCTTTTTTCACTAGCAGGGTATTTATATAAAACATGGAAAATGCAGTTACATTCATCACTAAGAACTTTTTAAAAGAGAAACCCCTCCTTCCCAAGATGTATCAGCACACTAACATTGGTGATCGCAGGTGAAATAATGAAGGAGATATGGCCCAGATAAACGATTTCCGGTCAAAGGTCAAAATAAAGGTCACAGTGACCTATATGTTTGCATTCCACTCCGCCTTCCTAAGATGTACCAGCATGTCAGAAGTAATAATTCAAGGTAAAATGATGTGGGCGATATGTTCCGGACAGATACGTGTCTTTGAAAAATGTTGACGACTGTTCGACATGCAGCATCACAGTTATGAAGCTGACTCTTTATTCAGACCAAACATGGAAAAGTAGAAAAGTAGGTCTATGTGATACACTGCTGTTGTAACCCTGTAAGACATAGCCACATATTAGTGACAGTTGGATTTAAAGTATTAGTGTCATGGGGCTAAATGCAAAGTGAAACGATAATGTCATTCTGTTAGAATTCATCCCCCTCAACCACGTTCTGGGGACATCAGTACCATCAATGGCTCTGACCGAGAAATATATGACTGTAACTAACTTCTTTAAAAATGCAGTACATGTCATGTGTCCTGTGCATTGTCCCAGTTTGATAAAGGACAACATTACACAACAGGGAAGTAACATTACATGTAGTATACTGATCTATAAATTACCCAGTACACCATAAACCTTTATCTCTGATCCTGTAGATATCATCACTTATGTTCTTGTTCGCTCCTCTCAAATAAACATACATTATTGATGATATAAAATTCAAACTCACTACTTGGAATTCCTCCGCCTACCTGTGAAATCATTATTAAAATATTTTGCTACAACCGAACGAAAAAGACAGTCCAGGGGCGTGGCTAGCCCTTGCTACAGGCGGATTCCTTAAGGAGCAGTTCCAAAGCAAGGTAGAGGGCGGAAAATATATATGCAAAGATTAAGATCTATCTATATAAGGGTAATTTTTTCAGAGTGGAAATGCACGAAGTCAGTACAAAATTGAGAAATTCTATAATACAATTATGTTTTTAGCTGTGCACAAGCACACACACGCTGTCTTTATTTATTTAGTTATTTATATTTTTCAATTGGAAATTTGGTTAATTCACATTCGTACCACTGTACAGGCTGCAACATGTTTTCTTTAAAACACTGGTGGGTGGCTGGGTGGTTAAGTCCCTATCGTTTTAAGGCTAGGTAGACACAGACATTTGTATGTGTCATCATTGTCCTATGTCATCTATCGTACGTGAACTCTCATCTGAAATTGCTCAAACACTCGTTTGCAAACTTATCATCAATCGCCATCGTTCTTGTCTTGTAACTACGTGATCTACAAATAATAGCAGAAAGTATATTTACACAGATACGAATTTAAAATTTATAGAAAGTTCGTTCTATTGGTTATGATTCAAATAAACTGTTTTGATGGAGGTGAGTATCTGAGGCATCAGTTTGCTGTATGTGGACAAACTAAAATGAATACAATGTTAATGACTGTATCTCCCTTATTCTGTAACATTAAGAATTATATTTAACATCATAATAACCACCATTGGAAATGTGGAACCTATGATGCCAACAAGAGGGTAGTTAATACAGAGGATTTAGTGAACAATTCAGATTTCATATACAGATGTTGAATGTTCTTTTTACTGTTTTAATCAATGTAAGGACCGATTAAATAGACAACACAACTTCTAATTACTACAATTTTACCAGTTGATGACACAGACAAAGGAATTAAAACACGATGTAGACTAGCTCACAGTCATGAATATATCTTTCTTTCAACAAGTGGAATTTTAAAATAATAAGCTACTACAAATAGGATCTGGGAATATATATAACTCAGATAAAACAACAAGTACAAGAATTTAAAATAGCGCTTCACCATAGCTCTGACAAATAAATCTCTGACATAGACTGTGCGATTCAATCTCGTGTCATACTTGCTGTAAAGTCTAACACAAGTACTACTTAATATGAAAGATTTCCGTATCGGACATTCTTTAACTTTGCAATGCGATTTGGAAAATTGAAATTTTCTAAAACAATAAAATCATCATATTTTAAGTTTAATGAGAAACCTGAGAGGCTTCTGAATTTATAAAAGCCATTCTTCTAGTTATTCCCCAAAAGAAAGAAGACATTCAAAACTGTATAGACCAAACCGAGACTGTTGACCTTGAACAGATTAACCAACACATCAGCTCTACTGACAAAGAACTAATGGACAATGTCGGCATATTTGAACAACTTTCAAATCAGTTGAAAACACAAACAAACAATTTAAAACACGATCTTGACCTACTAACAGCTCAGAGTCTGTTTCTCTATCAACAAATGGAGGAGGATAACACCAAGCTACTACAAACTTACAAAAAGGACCTGGAATCGTACAGCACTCAGCTAAAATCGCAAGTGCAAGAATGCAAGATAGCCCTTCAGCGTGGCTTTGACATACAAATCTACGACACAGGATGTGAGATTCAATCTTTAGTCACTCTCCCCGTTGAACCTAACCTAGGTAAACCTAACGTAGGTACTGCTAGTTTCACTCCCAACAAAAATCCCCAGAGTCAATTGAAACAAGCTTTGGGCGAAGTTTACACCTCAGGTCAAGATCAGGGTCCAGCCTTGCTAGTCCATGAACTGTCAGTTGGATCATCTGCTGGACAAGGATCAGTTAATACACAACATAGTTCAGAAACAAAAGGCAGAATACCAACCACACAAAAGCAGACAGGACGAAAGGTTAAGGTATCAGCCACACAACAAAAGTCCACAGGAAGAGAGGAAGTGGCCAGGCCAGTATATACCCTTTTGGCTACGACCAAGGTGTTAGGGGAATGGAATTCGTCATGTGTTATATCTTCTGTATGTCCAAGCACTGATGGTCAGGTGTGGACAAGTGACGGTCACACCTTAACTTTACTGGACAGGAAGGGCGAAGTGATACAGAAGGTTACGCACAATACTAGGATCAGTGACATCAGTTTGTCAACAACAACAAACACACTGTGGGTCTGTGACTGGGAAAACAACATCACAGAGCTCGTGTCAGGACGACTAGTACAGCGATTCATTACCACGGAGAACCCACAGTGTATCTGTATCACAGCTAGTAGCCATGTCATTGTGGGAATGGACAAACACATCTCAAAATATACCACCAAAGGTGTATTGATACAAAAGTCATCGGCTGTTAGGGTTGGGAGGCTATTACTGTGTGTTACACACAGTATCTCAGAGTGTCCTGTAACTCACAATGTCGCAGTGCCTTACCAGTGTGTTATACATGAGGGTGGTGCAGGGAAACCACGTGTTATTGTCATGGACACCCACCTCAAGGAACTATTTGCATATCATGGTGAAATTCCACATACATATCAGCAACTCTCACAGTCAGCAGATGAACCTTTTATTCCCTATGGTGTGGTGTATGACAGTGTGGGTAACCTAGTCATAGGGGACCATTACAACACACGTGTCCTACTCATCAGTGGGCGTGGTGAGTTTCTCAGGATAATACACAGCGACAACAACATGCCACGGGCTGTTGGTGTAGACAGGGAGGATGCCCTGTGGGCAGTGTTTGGGTATAACAGTGTCAAACTTCTAAAGTACAACTGTGCGCAGGACAAACAGCAATGTATTATCTCGTAACTATGACAACTGAAACTGCATTGTAAGATAATACAGAGATGACTTGAACTTCAACCCCGGACCTATATCATAGACCTACAGAGTAAATGAATTCAACAGACATGATATATCACAATTATCGTAAATTGATAAAAAAAAAGATGAAAAAAAGCAAATCGATCAGGATAATGGAAATTCAATAAATAGCTCATCAAAACCGTAAATAAATAATGTTTGGCACTAGTATTGAAGTTAATTGGAAAAAATACTCAACCTCCTAATTATATTATTTGACTCCCCCCTCCCTACATCCCCCTCATCCCCCTCATCC